TCAGTTTTTGTTTGCTTGAAAATGTCTGTTTCATTCTCATTCTTTTTTTTTTTTTTTTTGGTGAGGAAGATCAGCCCTGACCTAACATCAATGCCAATCCTCCTCTTTTTTTGCTGAGGAAGACTGGCCCTGGGCTAACATCTGTGCCCATCTTCCTCCACTTTATATGGGAGGCCGCCACAGCATGGCCTGACAAGCGGTGCATCAGTGCGCACCTAGGATCCAAACCTGGGCGGCCAGCAGTGGAGCGTGTGCACTTAACCACTACACCACGGGGCTGGCCCCTCTTTTTCCATTTTTTTTTTGTGAGCAAGATTAGCCCTGAGCTAACATCTATGGCTAGTCCTCCTCTTTTTTTGAAGAAGATTGGCTCTGGGCTAACATGCGTGCCCATCTTCCTCTAATTTACATGGGACACTGCCACAGCATGGCTTGACAAGTGGCGCGTCAGTCTGAGCCTGGGATCTGAACCTGCGAACCCTGGGCCGCTGAAGCAAAGTGCACAAACTTAACCGCTATGCCACTGGGCCTGCTCCTCATTCTCATTCTTGAATAATATTTTCAGGGAGTATAGAACTCTAGGTCTGCAGTTATTTTCTGAAGTATCATTCCACTACCTCCTGGCTTCCATATTTGTTGAAGAGAAGTTGCCTGTCAGTCTCTCACCTCTGAAAATAATGTCTTTTTCTCTTTGTGTTTCTTTTTATGTAGTTTTTTTATTTCACTCTAATATGTGTGTATTTGGATTTCTTTCTTTTCATCCTGTTGGGATTTATTGGGCTGCTTAAACTGGATTGTTGATGTTCATCAGTTATGGAAAATCCTTAGCCATTGTTATCTCTTCAATACTGCCTCACTGTCCCATTTTCTTGATCCTTTATTTTCTTTCCTGGAACTTTGACATATGTTAGATAGTCTTACACTATCATCATGTCTTTTAACTTTTTTTTCCTATTTTCCATCACTTTGTCTCTTTGTCTTGCATTCTAGATAATTCCTTTGATCTTTATTCCAGTTCACTAATTCTCTTAAGCTGCAGCTAATCTGTGGTTGAGTCTATACATGGAGTGTTTTTATTTATTTTTATTTATTTATTTATTTTTTAGTAAGATCAACCCTGAGCTAACATCCATGCTAATCCTCCTCTTTTTGCTGAGGAAGACCGGCTCTGAGCTAACATCTATTGCCAATCCTCCTCCTCCCCCCCCCCCAAAGCCCCAGTAGATAGTTGTATGTCATAGTTGCACATCCTTCTAGTTGCTGTATGTGGGACACGGCCTCAGCATGGCCGGAGAAGCAGTGCGTCGGTGCGCACCCAGGATCCGAACCCGGGCCGCCAGTAGCAGAGCGCACACACTTAACCGCTAAGCCACGGCCAGCCCTGAGTGTTTTTATTCAGTTATTTTAGTTTTCATTTCTACGAGTTTTATTACTTCTTTTTTCAAGCTTGCTAAATCATGTTGAGAGTTTCCTAAGCTAGGAATATATTTTCAGCTTGTATTTTATTTCCTTAAACATAGTAAGCATAGCTCCTTAAAATTCCAGTACTTTTCGTTTTTGTGGTCTGTTTCTATTGATCTCATTCATGGTGCCTTGTTTCCTTGTTGTTTTAGTTATTTTTGACTGTGCTATGCTCATTTTCTTTGGAAAATTGTTTGTGGAATTTGGGGCTAGGATGGAAGTAACAGCTTTAAGGAAGATGTGTGTTTGCTTCTGAGGCACCTAGGGCGCTGCTGGTTTGGGGCCACTTGACCAGCTTAAACTGTATTCCACACTTGGAAGGTTTCTTTTTAAATTAAGTTATCTTGTTTATTTGTTTGTTTGTTTATATTATGGTAAAATATACGTAATGTAAAATTTAGCACTTTAACCATTTTAGGTGTCAAGCTTGAGAGTTTTTATGCCATCCAGTGGATGTGAATCTAGGCTGCAATTCTGCTAAACAGGTTTTTGTTTATATCTTTTCAAGGACATCCCCCCCTCATTCTGCTCAGCAGTACAGCTTTCCTTGTAGCCTCTTATGGATGGGATGGGAGAAAGGTTTCTACATTCACTGAGGCCTAGCCCTTTGAGTTCTCAGCTTTATGGGAGGAGGGTAGGAGTGGATCTCCAGTTACATGCCCATGTCTTGTCTTCTCTATTCTGGGCCTTCTATTCTGTGACCTTGGAAACTGCAGTTCCCCGTCACCTGATTGGGAAATGCAACTTCAGGGTCTAGTTTACCTCCTGAGTGTCTATCAATGGTTAGAGTTTTAGAGATTACTTCTTACCCTTTATTAACTTTTTTATGCTTTTAAGAAGATATTTTTAATATTTTGTTCAACATTCATAGTTTTCTAGCAGCCAGTTTGGTTCTAATAATCTAGAGGCCAGTAGCTGAAGAACTGATCCTGCCCTTCAAGCACTGTGCTGGCACACAGGGTTATGCTTGCATTCCTTTTCTCTCACTTCTCAGGAGAAGACGGTCATAAACAACTTTGAGAAGTCTCATACAGACTCTGTGACCTCAACCATGGGGAAAGACACCATAAAAACGCACCTAAAGGATATCGGATCAGTAATCAAAACCCTCCCAACAAACAAAAACCCAGGACCAGATGGCTTCACCAGATGGCCAAAAATTTAAAGAAGAATTAATACCAATCCTGCTTAAACTCTTCCAAAAAGTAGAAGAGGAGGGTGCACTTCTAAGTTCGTATTATGAGGCCAGCATTACCCTGATACCAAAACCAGACCAAGGACACTATGAGAAAATTACAGGCCAATATTCCTAATGAACACAGATGCAAAAATACTCAACAAATTATTATCAAATTAAATTCAACAATACATTAAAAGGATCATACACAATGATCAAGTAGGATTTGTTCCAGGGATGCAAGGATGGTTCAACATCTGCAAATCAATCAATGTGATAGACCACATTAACAAAAAGGATAAAAATCAAATGATCATCTCAACAGAAGCAGAAAAAGATTTTGTCAAAATTCAACATCCATTCATGATAAAAACTCTCAACAAAGTGGCTATAGAGGGGATGTACCTCAACATAATGAAGACCACATACGAAAAGCCCACAGTTAACATCATACTTAATGGTGGAAAACTGAAAGCTTTTCCTCTAAGATCAGGAACAAGACAAGGATACCCACTTTCACCACTTTATTCAACATAATACTGGAAGTCCTAGCCAGAGCAATTAGGAAAGAAAAATAAATACAAGGCATCTAAATCAGAAGAGAAGAAGAAAATTTGTCTCCATTTGCAGATGACATGGTATTGTATATAGAAAACCCTAAAGACTCCACCAAAAAACTGTCAGAAGTAATAAACGAATTAATAAAGTTGCAGGATATAAAAATCAATAAACAAAAATCAGTTGCATTTCCATGCACTACAAACAAACTGTCAGAGAAATTAAGAAACAGTTCCATTTATAATCCCATCAAAAAGAATAAAATACCTAGAAATAAATATAATCAAGGAAGTGAAAGATATGTGCACTGAAAACTATAAGACATTGATGAAAGAATTTGAAGAAGACACAAATAAATGGAAAGATATTCCATACTCATGAATTGGAAGAATTAATATTGTTAAAATGGCCATATTACCCTAAGCAATCTATAGTTTCAATGCAATCTCTATAAAAAGTCCAATGGCATTTTTCACAGAAATAGAAAAACAATCCTAAAATTTGTATGGAACAGCAAAAGACCCCAAATAGCCAAAGCAATCTTGAGAAAGAAAAATAAAGCTAGAGGCGTCACATTTCCTGATTTCGAACTATATTACAAAGCTATAGTAATCAATACAGTATGGTATTGGCATAAAAAGAGACACATAGATCAATGGAACAGAATAGAGAGCCCAGAAATAAATCCATTTATTTATGGTCAATTAATTTATGACAAAAGAGCCAAGAATATGCAGTAGGGAAAGGACAGTCTCTTCAATAAATGCTGTTGGGAAAACTGGACAGCCGCATGCAGAAGAATGAAACTGGACCACTATCTTATACCATACACAAACTCAAAGTGAATTAAAGACTTGAATGTAAGACTTAAAACCATAAAACTCCTAGAAAAAAATATAGGAGATAATTCCTTGACATCAGTCTTAGCAATGTTTTTTGGATTTGACACCAAAAACAAAGGCAACACATGCGAAAAGAAACAAGTGAGACTACATCAAACTAAAAGCTTCTGTACAGCAAAGGAAACCATCAATAAAATGAAAATACAACCTACACAATGGGAGAAAATATTTGAAGTAATATATCTTAAAAATTCTCATCACAAAAAAAATTGTAACTGCATGGTGGTGGATGTTAACTTATTGTTATAACCATTTCACAATATATACAATTATCACATCATTATGTTGTACACCTAAAAGTAATGCAATGTTATATGTCAACTATGTCTCAATTTAAAAATATTTTTTAAAAGGCACCTAGAATCTTGGAGTGGAGAGGCATGAGATTTTTTTCTAATTAGCAAAAGAGTGTATGAATTTTAAAGGTCACATAATAATGGTATTGTGTTACAGAGCTCAAGGTTGGGAGAGAGTTCCAAGTTGAGACAATGGTATACATTTTATCAGCAAGGTAAAGACCAAAAAGGATGTTGGATGTGTTTTGATACTGGATGCTTGGATAACCTAGATTATTTGGATTGGATATTGGATTACCTTTGATCATGTAGTTTCAGTAGAGTGTTGAGGCTAAACTTTTGTGTAGAGTTAAAAAGAGAATGTGGGAAGTGGGTGTTTCAAAAAGACTATCATTGATGTTAGACGTAAACAAGATCCTGATTTTTGTTGACTTTAGGGTATATGTGACTGTGAGATTGAAAAGTTATAAGGCTAGTAACATGCGAAAACTAATCATTAAGTATGCACATAATATAATATAGTTTATGAAGGTATTTGTTCAGAAATTATATTTGAAATTCAGACTGAAGATGTAATGCTTCTTTTCATATGTATTTTGTATCAAGGTTCCCAGACGTCAAGACGATGAGCGGAATAATATTTACTTGGAACTAATGCAATATGACAATACAGAAAAATATCCTCTCTTGTTGGGGAGTGTTCAGGTCCACCTTTATGAAGTAATTCAGGTGTGTATCAGAATCGTTTGGCCCCTTGGTATCACATTGTCCAGTTGGTGTTTGTCATTATGATTTATCTATACCTCATGGACTCCTTTTATTTTTTATCCGCCTTCAAACTCATGTGCTTAGGGAATAATATCTCCCTCTGGATATAAAAAAATGAGTTGGTTTGTAACAGCATAATGTTTTTAAAAATTTATTTTCTGGAAGGGCAGTGATATATCCTAAAAAGGCCAAGCATGTTTTATTATGTTTTCTGAAATGTTTTAAAATAAGACTGAAACCACAAACCTGGTCTCTTAGCTGTCAGCACAGGTTTCCGCTCAGTTCTTTATCCTTATCTGGGCTGCTGGCAGTCGCCTGTTGGTGTGTCGTTTCGGGGTCAGCCAGCGTTGTGGGCCAAGTTTATACACAGACTTTGTGGTTCCTTCTCTCTTGCTTTCTCCTTTCTAGGAGTCTCCCCTCACTTTCCAGCAGCCATGGTTGCTCGGAACTCAAAGGAAGAGAACTAATTGATCAGGGAACAAGAATAAACAATCTGAAGGATTTTCAGGAATATTTGTTAGGACATAAAGCGAGGAAGCCCTCAAAGACTAATGGAATTATGTCAAAGGACACAAGAGCCGGGCTGCAGGTGCTCCTACTGGCCAATTTCAGGGTAATTTGAACATCAAAAAGATCATTACAAATTCTGAATAGAGAAAAACTCATGAATCCTTGGTGATTTTTAAAAAAGAAAAGCAAAAGAGAGCGTGGGAAGAAACAGGGAGGTTTTTCATTTTTAAGCAGAAGAATGCCAGTTAATAAATGTAGAAAGAATGATAGAATTACAAATTCACCATTTTTGCAGCACTTTATAGTGAATAATGATTAATTCAGTCAAGACTTAGCAATGGTACTGAAAACATTAGTTGAAAGGTTATTGGGGAATAGGATATTTACGGGGTGTCACAGTAACAGCCCACAGATTAATTATTGCAAAGGGGAAAATGTGTCTCTATAGTAGAGAGGTGTGGTGGTTACCACTTTAACTAAGAGCTTAAACTTAGCATGAGTAATTGTGGCCAACTTAATGTCATGTACTTCCTATGGTGGTACAACATGAAGTACACGGTATTACCTGTGAATACTCATCAAAAATGTTTGACCCAGGTCTAACCAAGCCGAGTCTAGACCTAAGTTTTAACTTACAGGAATTTAGGGGATAGGGAAAAAGTGAAACATGATGATATGGTAAGATAAATAGGTAATGTAGGACATACCAACTTAGATTTTTTAAAAAGTTAAGGTCATTTAAAAAAAAAAAAAAAGATGGAGGGAACTATTCTAGATTAAAAGAAATACAACCAGGGCCGGCCCCGTGGCTTGGTGGTTAAGTGCGCGCGCTCCGCTACTGGCGGCCCAGGGTTTGGATCCTGGGCGCGCACCGCTGCACTGCTTCT